AACTAGCCCAACGTTTCGCCTTGGCCAGGAATCAAACCCGGGTCCTCTTGCTTGTGAAGAAATGCTCTAGAGAAGGGAGTGCTAAAGAGAAGGGAGTTTCTCCCTCTGTGGGCCAGGATAAGTGCAAGTGAAGATTGCATAGATAGGGTGGTGCAAGATTGTGAAAGGAATCACAATTGCTTCACAGAGGTATTGGGAGTCAGTGGAGTTTGGTGAGGATGGGAATATTTGGTATGAGGAGCCATGTGTGGGAGAAAACTCTGACTATACAAGTATTACATTACAATACTGACAGAAGGGAGCTAATTTTTAAGGGTTTCTGTATATAGGCTCGTTGCCTGTATTTTCTCTATGACAACAGTTCTTCAGTCACTCCAAATCCCTTCGCCTGAGCACTCTGTACCTATACAGCAAGCTTAGATTGTCATGTTATTATTCAAGAGCCCAAGAGTTTTGAACAGACCTTCAGGAATGAGCCCAACATGATTTATGCAATTACACTGAGAAACACTCTGCTTATGAAATCATCTTGCCTGGGTGGTGTCAGGACCAAGGCTGCCGAGTGATTCCCTTGCCTGAGCCCATATTTAGTAGTGCACAGCTGCCCAAATCACAACAATTCGCCAATAAATGTCTACTTTGAACACATCATTTATTTATAGGAGTGACACGCTTACAACCCCTTCTGGAAATACATGTATTTGACATAGTGACATACATCAACAGTAGCCGCATTTTAAATCAAAATGAATGATTATCAGACCCGGTAACTCTTGTTTTGCTGTAATTCACTCCTTTAAATAAATGGCTCTGCAGGGCAAGAATCCCATCTGGATCTAGGTTTACTCTATGATATACAATTTTAGAATGTCCAGAATTCAGCAAATCGTCAAATTCATTCTTAACTTTGTGGTTTAGTCGTAATTCTGTTCTTAAAAGAACTAACCAGTTTCAACAATAAAGCTGAAATGAGGAAGGAATTTATCAAGTGCTGAATCTCTAAAATGTGACATAAATAGACTAAATCTCAACCCAGGTAGAATTTCTGCCCCCCCCCCCCACCATGTTTAAATGCATTTTGTAAGTTAGGTCACTTTTATTGCTGATAAATATCACTTGTAACATTTCCTTCTTTTGAAAGCTTCACTATTGGCTGTGAACTATCCTCCAATAATGTTTCATTAGTAAGATATATTAAGTAAAACGATACAAAGAAAACAACAACTCAATATTGTATTTTGCAGTAAAACTGTGCTTGTGACCCCGCTCAACTTCCAACTTGAACATCTTCCTGTAAGATTTGTGGGGTCAGTATAGATGATAGAGGGAATGTTAATAATAGAAGCATGGGTCAAAATGGTCAAAAAGAAGCAGTACTTCAGAATAACTTGTTTTTTGTCTCGCAGATATAACCTAATGCTTTTTGACAAGTCCTTTCTGCCAGGAATAAACCTTGATAGCAATCTTGATATTGGTTCAAAAAGCTTAACATAATAACATCCCTCCCCACTGTATGATTTCCACATTGTCTGATATATTGCCCATTTCTATTGCTCTCTGATGATGAGATAGTATACAACCCTTACAATGTACCTTTCACTATTGCAAAGATTTCTGTGGTTCATTAAAGAAGCATTGTGGTACGAAAGGCAAGCACAGAAAAGTGACAATGCAGAGGTAACCAGGTTATTTCACTTAAATGGTAATCAAAAGGCTCGAGGAGTGTGCACAGAATTGTTGAAACTCAAGTGAGACTGATGAATAAAAGTAATTTTCCAAAGCATTTTAAATATTCTGTGAGTTTGAGAAAATATTCTCTTTAATGCTAATTATTATATTATTAGAAATTATAAAACCCTACTGGTTACGATCAGGTAAAAGAATATATTCAACCCTTTACTGGCATGAATAGGAATTCTGTCCTGTAGCATAGTGGTTTGAGCACTCGCTTTGCAAGCAAGAGGACCCGGATTTGATTCCCGGACAGGGCAAAACCTTAAGTAAGTTTCCTTAATCCACATGCCTTTGTTTACCTCGTAGTTAAAAAAAACATTTGGTCACTCATTCCACGACAGTTTGTGGGACATTGCTGTGTGCAATTGGCTGCTGCACTTTTCTATAAAATGCACAGTATTTCTTGTGAACCCCTTTGAGACGACTCAACAACCTGATAAGGCGCTATTATCAAATGCAAGGATTACTATATTATTACCCATCGATAGACTTAACATAGGTATATAATAGAGAAACAATACACCATACATGTGGAGTCCTATAACTTAGTGGTTAGAGCACTCACCTCGCAAGCGAGAGTACCTGGGTTTGATTCCAGGGCAGGGCAAAACATTAGGCAAGTTTCCTTACTCCACATGCCTCTGTTTACCTAGCAGTAGGCAGGAACCCGGTTGTTAGTCGATTGGCAGATCACTTTTCCGGGGGGCAATAATTCCTTCAAAAAAAAAGAAAACAAATAATAATAATTTAGTCAATCAATCCACGACTGTTTCCCATTAGAGCAGAGAAGGTTACACGGGGACCTGATAGAGGTCTTCAAGATCATGAAAGGTTTCGACAGCTAGATAGGGAAAAGCTGTTTCCGCTGGTAGGTGTGTCTGTGACCCGTGGTCACAGTCTTAAAATATCTACCAAAAGAAGCAGAGGGGAAGTTAGAAGAATTTTTTTCACTCAGCAAGTTGTTCGAATTTGGAATGATCTGCCTGAAAGGGTAGTGAAGTCCGATTAGATAACAGCTTTTAAGAGAGAACTGGATAGGTATCTGGGGAAGACGGGTTTACAGGGTTATGGGGAGAAAGCTGGTGATTAGGGTTAGTGAAAGTGACTTGCTCTGTCAAAGAGCCGGCCCAGACTCGATGGGCCGAATGGCCTCCTTCTGTGCCGTTAACATTCTATGAATCTATGAAAGGGATAATAGAGACTTAAAGATAAGTAGATGAAAGGTTTGTGAGTGCTTTATTCTTACATTCAATTTTAATAATTAGCTCTATCATGTATGACCCATCATGAAACACCATGCCCAAACCTATTTATTTTGTGGTTTATGATTAAGAAGCTTCACTGCCCTGGAATTGCAGGTTCAGTTTTGTCCCAGAGCTCATTTGATACTTTATTTAATAATGTTTATATCTGTGTTTCATGGGATTTGAAGGGAAGAAGTCCTCTGGATGTTAGTTATACTCCTTGGGTTGACACAGCAAAGGAAAGTTCTGAGAAATGTTTTAATATCTTTAACTGCCCAACGATCCCCCAAAATAAATTTGAAAGACAGAAGTCTCTGGGAACACTCAGCAGGTGAGGCAGCATCTATGGAGAAAGGAAAGTGTGTCAATGTTTCGGTTCCACGACCTGAAACGTTTCTCCATAGATGCTGCCTGACCTACTGAGTGTTCCCAGAGATTTCCAGCATCTGCAGTATTTTGTATTTTGTTTATACCCCAAATAAATTTGGTTATTCACTTCATGGCTGTTTGTGGGACAATGCTGTGCACATACTCTTGGTCCAAATGGCCTGTTTCCATACTGTAATGTTTTATATAATTCTTTGCAAATCTATGAATACTGTACATTACTGTATATTCAAAGCTAGTTAGTACTAGTGAAAAAAGCAAGGAATCTCATGGAGATGGAGATAATGCTTGATGGCACTAATCTTCAAATATCGAGGATAGTATGCCAACAGTGACCATTTATTGTTTCATCACCTGATATTTGCTAAAACGATAATTGTGTTAATTTATTGCATTCCATTTTCCATCCCACAAAATACACAATCACTCCACTTTACAATATGTTATGTGAAGCACGTTGAGACGTCACAGTGATGCAATAATGTACTATATCAAATGCAAGGATTATTATTATTATTTTAGTCTTCGAGCGTTCATTTGAGTGGTCCAACAGCAAGTTGGCATTATGTACTGTTTTTCAAAGGCATTTCTCCTGATGGAGATCAGACAAAGGGCAGTGGCATTGGGAGAGGAAGGGTTCTTTCCAAGATGAATGTGGAATTCCTGACACAAATCAATAGGACAATAGTGGCAGCACATGAGAAATAAAGTGTATTAAAGGAGAAATGAATGTTTGAGAATGACCTTTGTGTTGGTAAGATGATTTTAATTTGCCTTGTGGCAAATAAAGTAAAATGAGATGTTCAACTATGGTGACAGCTTCTTGCTTGACTGTTAGTGACCCCTTTACCCTATGAGCTCGCCATTCTAAAACAATTGGTAATAGTGATGAGAGAAAGTTTGTATTGTGTGTTAGGCTCGTGATGTGAAATACGAAATACTGTGCATTTGTTCATCTTGCTCTCTCTCTCTATATATATATATACATATTTAAATACATATATGTGTATTATATACATAAACTATATATCATTTTATATTATTTTCATTGTAAAAAAAACATTGACAGACTGATTGGGGAGTGCCATTTCAGATCTTTGCCCTGCCTCAATCACTCCAGTGGTACAAGTATGGGCACTGCATTATCATGGAAAAATCTCAGCTGGCTGTATGCTGCTGAACATTAATTTCCTAGATGTATTCTGGTGACACTTAGAAATAATTTTAGTGTATTTCTCCTGAAGTGGGAAACAAAAGGACAAGGGCACAGATAAGATTCTGTAGTCAGTATTAAGGGTTCTATTTTACCTACAACATATTGGAATATTTATAATAATCACTGCTAGATAAAGCCAGTTTAGATAGATGATCATAATTTAGGGATGTGACCTTTTACCATACCTAAATGCCCTTTTCTGCCCATTCAGTCACATTTTTTCCATTCATCTATTCAATAACGTTTCTCAGTATTTTTCTCTATATTATACATGTTATTAATTTTCCATAACAGATGCAGGTAAGCAGTGAAAATGGATAAAGCATAACTCTCATTGTGATTATATTACATATGATATTGATTTTCGGCAGACTGGTTTCACACTTGTAGTAAGAGATTTGATTTGAATTTCTTCTCAGAGCCACAAGTAAAGCTAAAGCAGAAAGCAGATCCTCTAGCAGTGGCAGTAAAAACAGGTGAGTAATGATATGAATAGCAGTCGCAATATTCAATAAACCTAATAATAATCCTTGCATTTGATATATCCCCTTTCACGTGGAGACATTTCAAATTGCTTCACAGGATTTATTATAAATCTTAGTGTACAAACATTCTATTTGCCCACAGAATACACGCTACACTACATTTTGACTTCCCAACTCCTCCCTCCATAAGCTGCAGATTATTCAGAATTCTGCAGCTCATATCCTCTCCCGCACTAAGCTCCATGACCGATCACCCCCATCTTCACCTGGCTTTTCTGGCTCCCCATCCCCCAGAGGATCGAGTTCAAGATCCTTGTCTTCACCTTTGAGGCCCTCAATGGTCTTGCTTCTCACTTCCTCTGTGCCCTACTAAATCTTTACCAACCTGTCCGCTCCCGCTGCTTGGCGGGCACTAGCCTGCTCCACATCCTCCCTGCCCACACCCTGCTTGTTCCACCATCAGCGGTCGGGCCTTCAGCCTTTCCGCGCCCACCCTCTGAAATTCTATCCTAGAGCGCCTCCACCTCACACACCCCCTCTTGCCTCCTTCAAGGCCTGTCTCAAGACCTTTCTTTTTGACTCTGCCATCAGTCATCTTTCCACTCCCATCCCCCCTGCCCTCCACCCCTTTTAATTCCAATCCTCATCTTATGTGCAAATCCTTCAATGTCCAGCTACTTGGGACATCCTCCTAACGTGAAAGGCACTATATAAATGCAATGTGTTGTTGCTGTATTGAATATGACTATGCAAACTAGTGCACAGGATCATCTGCGTTGTGAGCTTACAATTTTCTATTCCACCTCTTCAAATAGGCCTTCTATAGTAAAAGAATACCTGTAACACCAGTTGAATACCCGTAGCAGTACGTTGTAAACTTGAAAAAGACCAGCATTTTTTTAGTAAAAGGAAAGTTTTTATAATCCTTTTATTTGTAACTGAAAAATGTGTGTTATAATAGAAGGTAACATTTTGGGCTGAATTCAAGAAAATCAATTATATTTAAGAAGGCTTTCAAAGTGACGTGACTTTGACTGTAAATCACAATTCAAATCCACTATGACTTCCATGTCTTAAAGATTTACTGACCGCATTTAAAGCAGGACTCTGAGAACAAACCACTTAACTGGAGAAACGCCACATGCTTCAAACTTGTTGGATTACTAAATGTCCTATTGCTCACACAGATACAATTAATTGCCATAGTTTGGGTTAGATTGAATTGATGGAGATGGTAGTGCTAATATGATAAGATGGCCATCCTCAATATGAATTCATTTTCATTCATCTGTAAATTAAGACACACTTTAAGGAATACTGCAAATCACAATCCACAGTCCCCGGCACAAACATGAGTACCACACAAACAATTGTACTCAGACGCCTTTAGTTATCATCCTCTGCTACAAACAGATATGTGGGAAGTTTCTTTTTAGCAAACCGTTTTTACTGTTTGGAAAGAGAAGGGACTTCTCAAATCAATCAATGATTCACCTCATAGCTGTTTGGTGGATTTTACTATAGATGTCAGATTTACCTACTACACTTGCCAATAATTACTGTGAAGGTCTTTGAGAAATTTATATATATATATAGGAAAATTCCACCTGGATCTAAATTTACTCTATTGCTTTAACCCTTTAGATCTTTCAGGATTTGGCAAGTTCTCAAATACAGTTCAAATAAATACAGTTTAAATAGAGTTCAATTTGAAGCTAGTTTTTGGAAATCCTTTTCGGAAGTAAAAAAAAAGTTAAATTTAGTAATTTGCCAATTTCTAATGTTATTTATGTAAAATGCTACACACATATAGTAAATCTAAATCCTGGGGACTATCTTCCCAAATATGCTATAATAGAGCAAGTTCTTCTTCTGACCCATAGTCACTCCACTTTAGAGTAAATGTGTAAAGTGTTTTAGGATGTCCTCCTGACATGAAAGGCGCTTTACCAAATGTAAGGATTATTATGTTTTATTATTATTCTTTCAGATGTGAATTAGTGTAATTATCAATTTTTAACATTTTCTGAAGAAATATTTTCTTTTGGCTCTACACTGTATTCAAATACATTGAATTGGTTTAAAAATGTAACCCTTGCCCATAACTTATGAATCCTCCCCATCCCTGTTGCATATTTAAGACTTGTACTATTCCTCTTATGCACAACTGTATAGACCACAGATGAATTTTAATCTCACTGATGCTTTTCCTATTTAGTAAGATGGGCATTTTTGCATAGCAACCATAAGAGTATGTTCTTCATTATTGCTCTTCAATTGCATTTTTTTCCTGCCTAAAATGGCTATTGCTAAATGTTTTAATGATATTACCAGCTAAAGCCCATCCATCATAGACAGTCCATTATATCATTCACTGTTATCTGACATCCTCCACATTTACTTAGTGCTATAATTTATCAACATTATGCTCTCAAGGAATGATGATAAATAGTGACAGATGTGAACCAAACCTAATCAATGGAAGCTTGACAAAGTTCATATTAGAATTAAACTTCTTTACTTTGCTGGATGGATGCAATTTGGTTGTAACAAGCTTGATTCTGCAGTGAGTTTCACATTGGTTAATGGGGTATATCACTTTCAGCTTTTCATATTCTTCTCCATTAAAAGGATCCCAGAATTGAAACTGAAAACATTTATTATATTTATATCAATTGCAGTTCGGAAGTTTATCCAGATAAATATAGTTTATTGGATCAGTGTAACCAAATTCCAAATGAGGTTGTTCAATGAAGGGTAAAGAATGTAGATCTTTATTGTACTAGAATATGTTAATCTCGAGAATTTTTAAATTTTACAAGCAAGTTACCTATGCATGTTTCCAAAGATTTTGTGTGTAGGGCACTTAAGTTCTGTCTTTTGATTGGAAACACAAAAGTCTCTTTTTCAGGAAGCAATCCCCACCCACATCTATGTTAAAACCTTTTGAGACTTTTAACTGTGTGAAAGATGCTTAATTTCAAGCTATTGTGGCTGTTGCGGAAACAGAAATCTGAGTATTAGAAAGAGAATACATCCTGCTTTCATTAGTCATCCACATACATGCAACTTCCGGCATAGGGAAAGGTCTTAATGGACATGGGATGAGGTGTTCCTTCCTGATTTGGAATTTGATTACATTGCTCCATTGAACCATCTGGATAAAGTATTGATTGGAAGATGCAAGGGACATCCATCCTAATTGATTTGTTTCACTATCTGGGGATGGTGCTTGGACACTGTGCTTCAGCACTGAGAAGAGGAGAAAAGGATTCTGGTCATTCTCATTCCTCTTCAAGAGCAGCAAGGTCCCAATTCAGGGTAAGATCATATCGTAAAAGATATGTGACCAAAAAGTTCTCCTTCATGACTCTGAGTTCCTGTGTTTGCAGTAGGGAGATTTCCTCAAACCCATGTGTGATGGCCAGAATCAAATTGTGAGGTTGATTTGTGGTTAACAGAGGAAATGGCTGAGGGATGGTGGGCTCTACCCACAGATTGCTGAGCATCTGGAAACAAAGTCTGACATGCCTATTTGCCAAAGCCCGCCATGTGAGGACCTGGATTAGGCAGTTAGTCTTCAGTAAACCTGCTATGAGGCATTAGATTTGGACATCTATAATATCAGGGTGGCTGGCCTGTCACAAGCTGCCCTATATCAGTCAGCATGCTAGGCAGATGTCTGTTGAATAGTTAATGAGGAAATTCTGAGACTGAATAAGTATAATACTAATCCTTGCATTTGATATAGCGCATTTCACGTATTTGAGGCATCTCAAAACTCTTCACGGAATATACTACAAAGTTAATTGACTTTACATTTGTGGGCGAAACGCGTCAGCCAATTGTGCACAGCAGTGTTCCACAAACAGTTGTGGATTGAGTGACTAAATTATTATTAGTTTTTTTTGTTTGTTATTTTCTTGAGAGTTTATTATCAGACTTGGGATGACAGCTGCTGGAAGGCACAGAAGGATGGTGACAATTCTCTTGCGCATTTCATGCTGAGCTGTACTGTTCACTAGGAGTTCTTGGTACCTGTTATCCGCTTAATAAAGCCTCAAACTTGCACTTGTTAGATGTCAAATGACTGACTGGTGACAATCCTCTTTGGGAATGGAGATAATAGGGTGTCTTTAGATTGAACTTACACTGAAGTGTCATGTTTGACAAAGAAATGATGAAATCATGTCAACCCTCTTTGGTGGACTCAGTAGTTTGGTTCCTGAAACAATGGGTCTGCAGTACTCCAATGCAATCCAGAGCACAATAGCTCGCCAAGGTGCTATCCCAAGTGAACAGCATCATATAAATGAAACTTGTTGTTGTTGATGACAGACGAGCCAGCTTTGTTTATTGGCAGGACTTAGAAGGTGAGACTGGTGGCTGGGAGCAGGGATTCTTCAACGTAGTTCTGTTAACCCTGCAATCCAAAGCCCTAACAGACAAGCAGCAAGAAACTTGACCTTGCTAGACAAGCACCAGAAAGCATACTCTGTGGTCCCCAAGCCAACCTCCACCTAATACTCTCCTGACAAGAAGTGGGAAGCTTGACAATCAGTGTTCTCAATGATAAACAGTGAGATTTCAGCTGGATAAACTCCAGCAGTACCCCAACACATCAACACGCTTTCTGTGGACCCCAAGCCTTGGCTCTTGCCAACTTGTGCCTAATACTTATTAAAATTGATAAGCATGATGTGTTCTCCAGGGAGAGAAAGTGTGTGGATTCCATTCCAGATGCAGGGAAATTTCCATGTGTAGTTGGTACATACCTGTGGGTCTCTCAGTTTGGTTTGAATACCTTTAAGTATGGTGATGGATTTCTGCATGTGTCAGATACCTGGGTGACCAAAAAAATAGAGGATGGGGATTAGAAGCAGGAACCTTAGCTGCTTTTCCCCTTCTCTCTTACAAAGAGCACTGAGTTCAATTGCATGTGCTGTGTTGTTGGTCTGTACAGTCTAAAGCTGTATTGTGAGATGCTTTTACACAACATGCCATTACGACAAAAGAAAATGAATTGGGAAAAACATGTTTGAAAAGTTTGCTGATTGTCATTGCTGATTACATGAAACAAATCAACATTATCACTAACAACCATCTGCAGGAATATTAAAGACAATATTCTGATAAATGATGGTTATATGTGATACATGGAAGCAACTACAAGTCGCCACCTCCTGGTGAAAACCTGCATAATTCTCATTGTCTGTGCTTTCTGAATGTGAGCCACACTCTCATTTTATGCAACATCCCTTTCTCGGGTTTCCCTCTGCCTATTATCATCCCTTTCTTTAACACCATGTTAACATGATTTTAACATGTCTATTCCATCTTGTTTTCCTGTTTGCAACAGAAAAAAGGAAACCTCAAGCAGCAAAAACAACAGCAAGTAATTATTGCACTTCAACTGCATGATGCAACTGCAAAATGGGTAGTAGCAAGCTGCTGCTATAATATTACCTCAGATGTTTCTTTTGGAAAGTATTTAATTGCTGCATAGTTACATTTATTCTCACTGGCTTAGTTAAGTTCTTTTGTGTAGCACACACTGGTAATTTTTCACCAAATAATAAAAAAATGTCTTAACTAAGAAATTAAGCTTGTAAACACCAACAAATAGGAACCGCCCAACTCAATCTGTTTTTGGAACTGTTTTTCTTGAGTTGGTGTGATATACTCCTTGGAGTCTTCAGTCATATTCCTTAATTAAGAAATCCTGCTAAGAAATATGGCAAAATTTACCCTTTTGCTAATGAACTGTTCCAGGTCTTTGTCAGTACTGCAGTAACAAGCCACTCTAAGGTGCAAGTGAGATGCAAGTTTCAGTCACCCTCAAATTGTACCTCTCTCCTTCACTATGGGAAATTGGTTACTTGGGCCTTCCTAACTAGGTTCTCATTACGTGTGAACATGATTCGGAGAACTCTGTGGTACAATTCAATAATACACCAATGTGCTGTACAGCCGGCTGCCCTTTATTTGTAATTGAAACCCAAATTGGCGCAAATCTTTAATGCTATAGATCATGCCTTTTCTTAATATGAATCTTTTTGGTTAAAATAATTATAAATAGGAATTCAAGTGCAATGTGCAACTTAACAATTTAATGATTGAATCTAGTGAAGTTTTACTGATTACTGAAAATGGCACGGCAGATGCTTTTACAGTTTTCAAGGGTTTCCAGACTGCTGAACGCTTTAGGCAGTGTACAACTTAAATGTTGAAACCACAATAAATCATGTAACAGAGGTCTCCTGTCAAACTTTGAATTACTCTGTGACACTATTAAGCATATTTAAATCATAGGTTTACTTCTGTTGCTGGGTTGTATGACACTGGAACGTATCAGTTTGGTTTCAGACAGCAGCATGGGTGGTGAAGCAATCTAAGACTTTCAAATGATTCTTTTACAGGCTTTTCAACTTCTGTACAATTGCTAGCAGAATGCTAACTGCAGCCATTAATGTAGCTGTTTCAGCAGAAGTAACCTCCTGCTTTCATTCTGATAACATTGATGTGTCTTGATGTATTATCATTTAATTTAAATTGTTCTTTACGGACTCCTTTTTCCTTCCTCTCATTAAGAACCAACTGCAGAGAAAAAGACTCCTCAATCACCAAAGGAACAAGCAAGTATGACTCTCATTTCCCGAATTGTAGTTCACGCACAGGGCAACTCATTCTGTTTCTCACTCTATGCATTTCTGTATTGAAAAATGATCATGGTTTCAACACTCACTGTGTACAGATCAGTTACAAGTCTTGAAGACCACAATAGTATTGTAGTATTATAGTTGGAAATCTGGAACATTGAATCATCAAAATTATACCACAGAAGAGGCCATTCAATGCATGAAGCCTAAACTGGTGTCAGCTGGTAGACCAGAGGTAACAACACTAATCCTGTTCCCTGCTCTCTTTCCCTTGCCCTTTTTTGTTATTCTTTTCGAGTTTATTCAATACTTTTTTAGATGTTATGTGCTATCCAGGTGGACGTTGGAGATTCCATGGCATTATTTGAAAAGAGAGGTATGTTATCCCTTCCTGATCGACAGTCCCTCAAATAAAATTGGTCACTCCCTAAATGGCTGTTTGTGGGTCATCATCGCTGTGTGCAAATTGGTTGCTCCGTTCACCCACAAAAAAATACCACTATATCAAAGTGCTATATCAAACACAAGGATTATTATTATAAAGCAATTTATATTTTCAAAGGAATGAGAGAACTTCAGCAGGACTCCTGAGGCTATGCTTGAAACAGAAAATAAAGGGGCAGAAAATACGTTTAACACTTGGAGAATAACAATCTTAGCAGGGTGCAGCACTCACTCAGTCAATAACATCAGAAAGCTACAAACATCATTCTCCTTTGATAGCAAAAATGAAGCGATTGCCATTGTCACAATGAATACATTGGCTATGACCTTGATTAATAGTCATGGCAAACAATAGTTCAAATTAAACATTGATCATAGCTTTAAAATAAGGATGTGAATAGAAATAGAAAGGGTGAATAGAAATGGCAGGAGTCTTTTATTAAACAGTGTTAGGCTTGTGGAACAAAATGCCTGACTGGGATATAAACAGATTGTTGACTAGTAATAAGTAATTACGGGGTGACCAAAAAGACGTGATACCATTACAATGTCTAATAAGTCTTAAAGAAATGGTGATATGTTTGTGGGTTTTTTAGTTAGTAGGGTAGTTATCACAATTGTTTGGTCACCCTTGTATAAAGGATTTCAAAAATCAACTAGACAAGTTCCTAGAAATTACAAAGATTCTGGTTTAATAGATAATGAAACAGATGTTCCAAAAGAAACTTTTGGAAAGTTGGATGGCTTATTTATGGTGAAACTGTTATTAATGCATAGAACGTCCATTCAAAATGTCCATTTGATAATTCAGTTGTCCACCCCCCACCCACACACACACACACACACATCTTGTTCCTGCTATTGCCACAGTCTTCACAAAATTATAGAGATTTGCTAATAATGTGGTTGCACTGTGGAGCCCACTCAATGAGCATGCATACAGAGAGCCCACTCATTTCCTGCATACCAGCTAGATTTTCACATTCGAATGGCCAAATTCCAGTTCACTGGGTGAACTCCAACATCACTTCTTGTTTAAGTACACATGCGAAAGGAAGAAAGTGACACTGGAAGGGTTCAAATGATCATGAAGTCGGCCATTTTAGCTTCTTGCATTAAAAATGGTCATGTTCTGCTTCAGTCATCACTGACAATAATCCCTTGCTGCTTTGGGCAGAAAACTGAAAGTGTCATGGGCAATAATCTTTTTATTTAGCATGGGAAACCGTCCTTGCATGGAGGGAGCGAGTCAGCCGGCTGTGCACGGACACAGTAAAACCAGCTATCACACCTCTTTATAACTTGGTTTGAAAACTGTGTTTCTTAAATGTTTAAGTTGATTGCAGTACTTGTTAACAATATACAACAGAACACCAGAATCTAGTCATTGATTTAATAATACAAATAAATTTGAGAGTATGTATGGAGGTTTTACTTCATTGCTGATTCCTTTAGTGCTCTAGCTTTGGCTTTTGTAAAACCTTCAGTGAGATAAAAATCTCCTTCCTTGATATATTCATACCTTGATACTCATTACTGCCTTAATAACTGTCATGTCTGGATGTGATGAAATCAGCAGAGACTGCATTTTCCTGGCAATAGTGTTCAAACAAATCTTGAAAAGGTGATATTTGTTGTTACAATGTTCAAGAAGTATATCTTATTATGCTCTTCTAAACCCAGAACTGTACATTTGTTAGTGGCAGTCAATTCATTTCCTGTTCAATGCAAATATGCCACAACATTACATTCATACATCAACAGGAATTTAGAATAAGATTTGAGCAAAGCTATCACCTTTTTCCTTGAACCCACTACCCTGAGACAGAGATGAGAATCCTACAACTGATTCGAGCTGACACCTAATCCTTGAAGGAAAACCATACTCTTAAGAAGATGGTCTCACGAGCATAATGTTATACATAGGCTGTGACTGCAGTTTCTCTCCCCTTTGGACACATAGAACCATAGAAAATTACAGCACAGAAGAAAAAGATAGTGTTTGTGCGGCCTCTTTTAAAGAGCAATCCATTCACCTGCCCTTTCCACATACCACTGTAGTTTATTCCTTTCTCTTGCACTAGTAGTCAATACCTCTCTTATAGGATTTGGTACTTAGAACGTGAACTCACCTAGCAATGTGAAGCTTCTTTTCTATTTCACAGTTTCATATGTCCTTTTTGTTGAAAAATTTTCCAAAGTGTAATCTGTTCTTCACTTTATTCTTTACATAACTTCATTATGTTTTGTTACAACAACAACAACAAGATTATATTTGTATCGCCCCTTTCACGTCGGGAGGACTTCCCAAGGAAGGACATTGTTAGAGTGTAAAATTAATGGAGTTTACGCAGATAACAGTGTTGAATGGATTGCAGCAAGGTAAAATTGCACAATCTCAGGAAAAGAAGTATTCACTTAACATTGAATTTGAGAGGAAATAGTTAAGTTAGCAGGAGTGAATTCAATCATTTTAAATCCCAATTTCTATTGATGTAACAGGGATTGCCATTTAATTGGGGATAAGAAGAAAAAGTAGCGAGGGTTAGAAATCAGAAATTAAACTGGAACATGATGAATATGCACAGCAGCTTGTTAAGCCTCCGCAAAGAGAAAGAGATAGATAGGGTAATGCTCCGAGGAGGCTGAGACTGCTGAAGGGTCACACCCACAATGTTAACCTATCTTTCTCTTCCAGATGGTGATTTACCTCCTGTGTATTTTCAATATTTCTATTTCTATTTCATTTTTTTGTGGAGTCCTGTAGCTCAGTGGTTACAGCACTCACCTCGCAAGCGAGAGGACCCGGGTTCGACTCCTGGGCGGGACGAAAGCTTAGGCAAGTTGCTTTACTCCACACGCCTCTGTTCACCTAGCAGTAAGTTGGAACCCAGTTGTTAGTCAATTGGAGTAATAATCCCTCCAAAAAAGTAATAATAATAATAATTTGGTCACTCAATCCACCACTGCTTGTAGGATACTGCTTTGCGCAATTGGCTGCTGCGATTCAATCACAAAATATACAGTCAATTCACTTTACAGTATATTCTGTGAAGCACTTTGAGATGTCTCAATGCTGTGATAAGTTGCTATATTAAATGCAAAGGTTATTATTCTGGGGGTTGGCTGGGCGTCTGATACATCCGGAAACCCATCACCATGCTTAAGAGTATCCAAACTCGATTGAGAATTCCATATGTGCCACCCACACATGCAATGTGGAATGGAATACGTACTCTCTTCCTGGAGGGATGCACCCTGCTTACCTAATTCCAGAGAATATTAGGCACAGGTTGACATGAGCCAGCCAGCTTGGGGACCCCAGAGTATGCATTGTGGTACTGTTGAAGTTCAACCAGTTGAAACCATACAGCAAGCTTTGTGTTGCTTGTCCAGCGAGGACATCCCTAATTGTATGTGCTTTGGCTTGCTGGGTTAATGGAAGCTGAGTGGTAAGAATCCCCTCCAACTCCCCTACCCCTCCAATTCCTACTAAGATGTAGCTGGTCTGTGATCATCAGTGCCCTGGAGTACTGCAGATCCACCTATCTCAGGAACCAGCAAAGAGGATTCTGATATTTAATTGTCAAACATGTCAATATTTCAACTTAAGCAATACCAAATGCAGAAAAAATTAAAGGTGGAAAGAAGGCTATTAAAGGAGAAGCCTCATTTATGAACTGTGTATAAAATTGTAAATAGTGTCGATATGGTAAACTGTTTCTTCAAAGTAGAAGAGAATATGAATGGAAATCAGTGAACAAAATTGGAATAGATATCAGGGACAAATATCTGTATTCATAATTATGAATATTTAAATAATCTCTCAAACTGGGTAATAAATGCAAAATAATGGGTTTATTCAAAACTAACTGTACACTTCAAACCAAAGGATCCAACAACAACAATAACAACTTGGACTTATATAGTGCCCTCCACGGCGGACAGCGTCTCAGAGCGCTTCACAGTAACAGATCCCGGGACCGAGCCAGGGGGAGGGGGAGGAAGGTGACCAAAGGCGCAGTCGAAAAGAAAGGTCTTCAGCAGAGACCTGAAAATAGGAAGAGATGGGGCGAGGCAAAGGGAGTGAGGAAGGGAGTTCCAGAACCTTGGGGCATAGTGGCTGAAGGCACGGCCACCAAGGGTGGAGCAGAGGACTTGGGGGACAAGGAAAAGGCCAGACCCAGTGAAGCGAAGGCAACGGGCACTGTTTTGAGGAGAGAGGAGGTCAGAGAGGTAGGAGAGTGCAGAGGAGTGGAGGGATTTGAAGACAAGAGTGAGGATCTTGAAGTCGATCCTCTCTAGGACAGCGAGCCAGTGCAGTCTGGCAAGGACTGGGGTAATGGGGAGTGGAGTTTGGTGCGGGTGAGAATGCGGGCAGCAGAGTTTTGAATAATCTGGATTTTATGAATGGTAGTGGATGGGAGACCAGCAAGGAGGGCGTTTGAATTGTCCAGCCGAGAGGTGACAAAGGCATGGACCAGGGTTTCAGCGACTTTCGGAGAGAGGTATTGGCGGAGACGGGCGATGCGTCGG